AAGTGTAATATACTCTCTGTGAAGCTGTATGAATGGCACACTGGTGAAATATTAAACCATGGGAAAGTACGGTCGGCTGATAGCCTTCTCAGGGCTCCCAGCGCAGGGTCAAGCTCTTCATAAATTTTCTCTCTTTTTTTTTTCCTTCTTCAGACTCATTAAAAAAATGTCTCCTTTTTCACTTCACCAAAAACATATTCAATACCTGCTCTGTGAAATGAGGAAGATGCTAATATTTGAAGTAGGACTATATTTATATATATTTATACATACATATATGTACATATATTTAAATATATATTTATAGATATATACATATACTCTGCATGGAAGCTTCCAAAACCACATGCTAGGTGTTGAGGTGTCATTTTAAGAATAAGGTGCTACAGTGAAGCAAAAACAATTTCCCCACAATGTGTGTAAATAACAATGTATCAACCATGAATTAAAAAATAATAATTTTCTCATTCATTTTCACAGCCCTATTACTGTAAAAATAAATTCATAATCTTTGACCTTATCTGACCCTAATTCCAAAACAGGACTCCAGACTAAATCTTCAAATTAAAAAATAACCTTTCACTCAGTGGTGACCTGGAAAATGTGTTCTTCCAAAAATGTCCCCGCAAGTGTAGCCCCACCAGACACAGACACGGAAACACACCCTCACCTATCCCAGCTAACAATGGCAATTATAGGGCAATAAAATGCTTTTATGAGTGTAATTTGACTGGAAGTATTTTATAATTACACAAAAATCTTGTTTATTGTTTGTTCCTGACGAGTCCTCAGGATACAGTACAGACAGTAGAACTTCTCCTGTTCTTATGTCTGAGTGCGTGCTCCCTACAGTTTATTTTAGAGTTTTTCTCCCATTTCTCATTTCCAATTGTCACGTATTTGACTGGAGAACCAAAAAAAAAAAACCTGCCAACATCTATGCACTCAAACTCCAGCGTACAGCTAACAGACAAAGTGAAAATGTCGGACCCACACTCACCCAGACAGTTGTGCCCGTCGTGTGCCAAGCGAAAACCATCGTAGCAAGTGCATCTGTAATTTCCTGGGATGTTGATGCACTCGTGGACGCAGCCGCCGTTATACTCCGGCGCACACTCGTCTACATCTGCAGAGACATGAAGCACAGGTGGGGGTTAGCAGCGGCCGTGACAACAAGAGACAATCGACACACAACGATGGAACCTTGGTAGTTAAAGCAGTCGTCATGGATTTGAGGGAAGTGATAGGATATATTTAGTTAAATATTACTGTATTTTCCAGATTATAAGTCGCACTTTTTTTCATCCTTTGGCTTAACTTATACTTAGGTGCGACTTATATATTGAAATATATAATTTTATGTTTGTTATTTTCTCACTGACAGCCAGTAGAGGGCACTGGTTCAACTTATACTCCGGAACGACTTAATAGCAACTTATAGTTCAGAAAATACAGTAACAGTGAGTTATGGTCCGGAAAATACAGTAATACTATTACTTTTAACCCAGATGTTGGTGTTGTTGACACTTATAGAGTGACATTAAAAACAGAGCGGCCAATGAATTTGGATCCTGTCCAGTTTGACCGAGATTAAACACCTCAAAGATGCTCAGAGGTGGGATTTGAACCTTTTAACCCAGATGTTGGTGTTGTTGATGTTGGTTAAGTTGGTTGGTTGGTAAGTGACTTCACAAACCCGAAACAAAAAGGTAATAAAAAGTTGTTGAACTCCCTCATACCCGATGCAAGGACGTTGAGTGTGTACAAAATGCACAGGACAACTGAAGGGTTAAATCCTGTTTCATTAGTAGTAAGTCACAATAGTGTTTTCCATCAGAGACGTCAGGGACATCACAGAGTGGCAGACAACACTGGCAACAAAAAAGTGACTCAGATAAAAATGTGGAGGCGCAAAGATAGACAGAAACTGCAGTTGGACTGTCTGTTACATCTGTGATGATAGTTGAAGGAGTCCATATTCAGAGGAGCTGCAGACCAGGTGGACTGAGTGGTCGGCCCTCTGACACTCAGCACTCAGTGGTCCACTTAGGACCGACGAGCCCGGTGGTTGAGCTGCTTTTTGCGGCCGTCTCACACAGTGCCTAATTGGACAAGGCGGCAGAAGGACGGGACGCCAACAAAGACACTTTGATGCTCCCTGCCTCCTGGCTTCCCACACATCTGTGCGTTCACAGAGCACACAATCCGCCATCACACTTTAACAATTCCACTACACACTGAACCTGAATCACCCACCGCAGTGATGCAAAAGCAATTTTCTCTCAATGGCATTGGATTGTCCTGCAGCGTCACATCCAACAGCGATGTTCTTTAAAATGGACGTATTTAAAATGAAAAAGCTCAAAAGTATTGCAGTATTGAGTATACAGTGGACACCCCAGATACGACGTTCCTAAAATACGAGCATTCCATGTTACGAGTCTGCAACTTTTGCAAGAGTTTGCTCCTGATACGAGGAAACATCTAGTTACGAGTGTTCAACTGAGCTCCATTTTTCCACCGGAATTAGCACTCACTGTCCCTCACTTGGTCATT